TCCTAATTTAAATGCCCACCATCTTTCCGAAGGATTGTTTTTGAGAGCCTCTTAATTGGTTTCCCTACCACCACTCTGGCTCTCCCAGTGAATCATCAAAGGAGCATCAAGAATGAGATTTAAAAGATCCTCTCATAATAGTCCTCTTAAAAGCCTCTGATGGATACATGTCACGTTCCAGGAATAAAAGTCTTAAATTCTATTGCTTGCCTTCCACTCTCCCAGAAAAGGCACATGGACAGAACACAAAAAGCAGCTACCTGAGCTTACTTGAGAGTGAACAGAGGCAGGTAGACTGGGGAAGAGTGTTAGCTCTCTCCAAAGAGGGCAGATGGAAAGCAATACAGGAAAGGTCCTATTTCCATGGCTACTAGACTGGAGTGAGGTGCAATCCACACAGCAAGTAAAGTGAACGCTATGCATCTATGGTCTGGGGAACAAGGTCACACATGGTGGGATACTAGAAACAACGAAGAGAATGAGCGTTCAGCAAGGGAAAGTGGCAACGAGGGGATCCTTAAATCGTGTCTACCATGCAACCTCTAAATATCCACTAAAGCATGTGCATCAAGAATAAGCTCAAAGCAGGTCAACTCTAGACCAAGATCTGAACTGAGGCTGGGCTCTTGCATCAGAAACAGTCTTCAGTTCAGTCTGAGGCTTGAGAGCTATTTGCTAAAATAAAGAAATCGGTATTACTGATGAGTAAAAATGGAATCAGTATTACTGGTGAGTAATAACGGAAAATAGAATCTTCACAACCTAATATGATCATATTCAAAATATAATTCATAGCCTCCTGACATGGGAAGAGCCAGGAAAATGGATCTCCATTCCCAAGGGAGTGGACATCTGGCAGACCTTCTGCTGAGAGGAGACAAAGTTTGGAACTAACCCACAAGGATTTTAAAGTGGTGACATAACTATCTTCAAAGACAGAAATGAAATTTGATTTTAACGTATGAAAATCACAGCTCAGAAATTGGCGTTCTCAGAGAGATAGCAACAGAGAAGTCAAAATAACTGAAATTCGAGAGCTGAAAAAGTAATTTCTGACATAAAAATTCACTAGATGGGACCTAAGAGAGAATCTTTGAAAATAGATCGATAGAGGTTGTAGAAGGTCAAGGGCAGAGAGAAATGATTTAAAACATGAACAAAGAGCCTCAGAGTGCTATTACAGCAGGAGGCAGCATATAGTTCCTGGAAAGAGCCAGATAACTATCATTTTGGGCTTTGTGAACCCCATGTTCTTATTTTTTCTTTGTTCTATTAAACTACTGTGTGTGTGTGTGTGTGTGTTTAAAGAAACTCTATTTTTTAGACCAGTTATAAGCTGCCTGCAACACTGAGCAGAAAGTACAGAGATTTCCCATACATCCTGCCCCCACTCATGCACAGTGTCCCCACCTATCAATATCCTGCACCAACCGAAATATTTGATACAATTGAACCTACAGTGATACATCATTATCCCAAAGTCCACCATTTACATTGGGGTCCATTCTCGGTGTTGTACCTTCTATGGTTTTGGACAAATGTGTAATGACATGTACCTGCCATTACAGTGTCCTGCAGAGTAGTATCACCAGCCTAAAACCTCTGTGATGTGCTTATTAACTTCTCTCTCTCTTTCCAACCACTCATCTTTTTACTACCTCCGTGGTTTTGACTTTTCCAGAAAGTCATAAGTTGGAATCATACAGTATGTAGCCTTTTCAGATTGGCTTGGTTATGTATCCAAGATTCCTCCATGTCTTCTCATAGCTGGATTGTTCTTTTACTTTTAGCATTGAATAATATTCCATTGTCCGGATGCACCACAGTTTATGCATTCACCTGCTGAATGAAATGCTGGTTGCTTCTGAGGTTTGGCGATTACAGAGGAAGCTGCTATAACCATAGGTAGACTTTTGTGTGGACGTAAGTTTTCAATTCCTTTGGGTAAATACCAAGGAGAATGATGGCTAAATTGTGTGACAAGAGTATGCTCAATTTTTTCCCTTTCCCTTGAGAGAGAGACAGAGAGAGACAGAGAAAGAGAGAGAATCTCAAGCAGGCTACACACTCAGCCCGAAGCCCAATGCGGGGCTCGATCTCAAGAATGTGAGATTATGGGGGCGCCTGGGTGCCTTAGTCGGTTAAGCGTCCAACTTTCGCTTAGGTCATGATCTCGCGGTTTGTGGGTTCAAGCCCCACGTTGGGCTCTGTGCTGACTGCCAGCTCAGAGCCTGGAGCCTGTTTCAGTCTGTGACTCCCTCTCTCTCTGACCCTCCCCTGCTCATGCTGTCTCTCTCTCCTAGAAATAAATTTTTAAAAAATTAAAAATTAAAAAAAAGAATGTGAGATTATGACCTGAGCCCAAATCAAGAGTTGGATGCTCAACCGACTGAACCACCCAGGCGCCCCTGGCTTACATTTTTTAACTATCATGATGTCAAGCATATTTTCACGTGTTTATGTACCATTTGTACCTCTTTCTTAAAGAAATGTATATTCAAACTACATGTCAGTGAGAAAGAATGAAATCTGGCCATGTGTAGTAACATGGATGGACCTTGAGGGTGTTATGCTGAGCGAAATAAGTCAGGCAGAGAAGGACAGCTGCCATATGTTTGCACGTATAGGAGGATTAGGAGGAACTTAATGGGGGACCATGGGGGAGAAGAAGAGGGGAAATGGTGGGGGAGAGGGAGAGAGGCAAACCATCAGAGACTCTTGAATGATGAGAACAAACTGAGGACTGATGGGTGTGGGGGGGAGGGGGGAGATGGGCATGGAGGAGGGCACTTGTGGGGATGAGCACTGGGTGTTATATGGAAACCAACTTAATAATAAACTATTTGTAAAAAAAATAATAAATAATAAAAATTAAATAAAAATTAAATTTAAAAAAGAAATGTATATTCAAGTCCTTTATTTATTTAAAAATTGTGGGTTTTTGTCTTTTTGTTGTTGAGTTATGGGAATTCCTTATATATTCTGAATATTAAACCCATTCCATTGGTCTATTTACCTATTTTTATGGCTTATGTATAATTGACAAATATTTCCTCCCATTACATAGGTTATCATTTTACTTTCTTGATAATGTGCTTTGATGTATGAAAGTTTTTATTTATTTTAATGTTAATTTTTGAGAGAAAGAGAGAGAGAGCAAGCAGGGGAGGGGCAGAGAGAAAGGGAAACACAGAATATGAAGCAGGATCCACGCTCCCAGATGTCAGCATAGATCCTGATGCAGGGCTCGAACCCACAAACCGTGAGATCATGACCTGAACTGTAGTCAGACGCTTAACCAACTGAGCCACCCAGGCACCCCCAAAAGTTTTTAATTTGTGATGAAGTCCAATCTGTCTATCTTTTTTGGCCAATCATGCTTTTGGTGACATATCAAAGAATTCGTTGCCAAATCCAAAGTCATATAGACTCAGCCTATGCCTTCTTTTAAGAGTTTTATGGTTTTAGGGGCGCCTGGATGGCTTAGTCGGTTAAGTGTCCGACTTTCGCTTAGGTCATGATCTCGCGGTTCGTGGGTTGGAGCCCCGCGTCGGGCTCTGTGCTGACTGCCAGCTCAGAGCCTGGAGCCTATTTCGGAGTCTGTATCTCCCTCTCTCTCTGACCCTCCCCTGCTCACTCTGTCTCTCTCTCTCTCCTAGAAATAAATAAAAATATTTTTTAAAAAACAACAGTTTTATGGTTTTAGCTCTTATATGTAAGTCATTCATCCATTTTGCGTTAATATTTGTTATGGCTTTAGGTAAGGATCACAGTATTATTTTGCATGTGGGTATCGAGTCATCACAGCCCCCTTTGTTGAAGGGGCTATATTTTACCAACTGCATGATCTTGGCACCCTTTTCAAAAAATGAATCAGCCATAGATATGCAGTTTTATTTTTATTCCTGTAAGTGGGTGGTTCTGGGTCACAGAAACGGGCCCTCTGACTCTGAACACTTTTATAAGCTACATTTACTGTTGTACATTCAGAGTTCCTGGTTTTGAGCTGACCTGACAGATCACATCATGCTGGTAGGTGGTAAAGGGAAACTTAATCTCCCACATTCCTCAAAGGAGAGGTGCTTGGTGCTGGCAATGGTCGGCTGTCTAATTCAGGAGGGGTGCTGTCAGGCACAGGATACACCCACCCAAATGGTAATGGCAATTGTCATTAGATTAATTACATGGTTGATATTTTTTATGTTGATTTATTTTTGAGAGAGAATGAGTAGGGGAGGGGCCGAGAGAGAGGGGGACAGAGGATCGGAAGCAAGCTCTACACTGACAGCGGACAGCCCGATGTGGGGCTCAAACTCATGCACTGTGAGCCAAAGTCCGATGCATAACCGACTGAGCCACCCATGTGCCCCCTAATTACATGGTTGAAAATTTACTTTTAAGATGTTTTTTTTTTTTACCAAAAAAAAAAAAAAAAAAAGATCAAGGTTACTAGAAGAGAATTTTTTCTATACACCACCAAGACACACTGCTAGGGCCACCATAAGTTTAATGGGAATGGCTGCCCATCACACTTGGGAAACAAGCACATGATGTTCTGTTTGCTCTGCAAATCCATAAGCACTCAGTTCATAGGGTCCAGGAGGAACTGAACACAGCCTCCCAGGACAAAATCTGCAACCCTGTCTCACATATCTGTCTTCAAACAGGCTGGACCTTATGTCATGCCACGTTTTCCTCTCTGTTCCCATGGCTAACTTTTCCCCACCTTCCTAAATCACATGACGTGTCACCTCCTCTCTAAACCCTGTTCTAAAATGTCCCCATGTCTGCTGGAGATGCTGTTTCTGGGTCCTGGTACACTGCGCTCACTGCTGACAAAATAGCATCTGCTCGCCTGACTGTGACAAGTATTTCTAGATCCCTGAGGACTAAAGAAGCCAGGAAAGTGTAATTTACAATAAGAGTTTCTTAATGGAAGAATGGTGTGTTAGTTCATGAAAATACCCCCGAGAAAATATCCCAATGATCCAGACACTCACCTGTCTGATAAATAGCCAAATATGATGCTTCCCACCAACATGCCAGCCATGAATAAGAATTTGGTCATTGATTTCAGTGACTGAGATTCACATACCAGGTCCCACTGGAAGAGAAGGAAACCAGCAAAGGAGTGCTCTATAGCAGCCTATAACCCTTCGCGGAAACCTGATTGAAACAGCTGAAATGACTTACAAGTTTCTTTCCATCAGGCCCCTTTCTTGCAGCTTCCATTCTTTTTTTTTTTTTTTGAATTAGCAGAACTTTAGCATTCAGGTATCAGCTTAAATACAACTTCCTCTAGAAAGACTCGTCTAAACCTGTTGGTTATACCCATGCCTTGTTTTATTTCATATGAAGTAGTTCTCAGCCTTGACCATAGAATGCAATCCTTTGAGGTGCTTTAAACATTTACCAATGGTCGGGTTTCACTAGCGATCTCCTATGGCTGCTCGGAGACAGTCAGTGCTTGGAGGGTTTGATCAATATCCCAGATGTTTCCCATTTGCAAACATTTTAAACACATTATATAAACTACGTGTTTCAACTTTGGTCTTCCTAAGAATAAAAGCCATATCTGAAATACCACACTGAAGATATGGCTTTTATTCTTAGGAAGATCAAAACCACACTGAGATACCACTTCACGCTGGTCAGAGTGGCTAAAATGAACAAATCAGGAGACTCTAGATGCTGGCGAGGATGTGGAGAAATGGGCACCCTCCTACACTGCTGGTGGGAATGAAAGCTGATGCAACCCCTCTGGAAAACAGTGTGGAGTGTCCTCAAAAAATTAACAATAGAACTCCCCTATGATCCAGCAGTAGCACTGCTAGGAATTTACCCAAGGGATACAGGAGTGCTGATGCACAGGGGCACATGGACCCCAATGTTCATAGCAGCACTCTCAACAATAGCCAAAACATGGAAAGAGCCTAAGTGTCCATCAACGGATGAATGGATCAAGAAGATATGGTTTATCTATACAATGGAATACTACATGTCAATGAGAAAGAATGAAATCTGGCCATGTGTAGCCACATGGATGGAACTAGAGGGTGTGATGCTGAGCGAAATAAGTCAGGCAGAGAAGAATAAATACCATATGTTTGCACGTATAGGAGGATTAGGAGGAACTTAACGGAGGACCGTGGGGGAGAAGAAGGGAAGAAATAGTCAGGAAGAGGGAGGGAGGCAAACCATGAGAGACTCTTGAATGCTGAGAACAAACTGAGGGCTGATGGGGGTGGGGGAGAGGGAAAGGGGGGAGATGGACATGGAGGAGGGCACTTGTTGGGATGAGCACTGGGTGTTATATGTAAACCAACTTGACAAACTATTTAAGGAAAATAAATAAAATAAAATAACTTTAAAAAAAAGAATAAAAGCCATAGAACTTCAAGGTCACATCCACTTTTTAGCTCACGAGACTCATAAAATACGTAGATTGGTGGCATCTAATAAAGACATAATTACTATTTGCTGAAATAATAAAGAACTAGCGCCTAAAGAGTGACTCGGGGCTTGAAGCATGTTCGTTATTTGTGCTACCTCTAAACACCCGGACCTAGTACTCACAGGAGGCAAATGGGACCTCTTACCTCAGTCACGATGGTGGAGGGGAAGGAGCTGTTGTCATACACCCAGCCGTCCACACAGGGCTCCGTGTCCACCTCACTCGTGTTAGGGAAGGTCCCATTCAGGTGAAGGAGCTGCCACTGCAGGTGGAGGAAGCGATGACACTTGTCTGGCCTCCGATTTGAGTCCAGTGGGATGGAGATTCTCAGGAGGGCTTCTTGGCTGAAGATCCCAGTGCTGTTAGCAGAGGCAATGTCATTGTCAAGGTGGCGGACCCAGCAGCGGTGATCAGGGACTATGGCGGTGAAGTTCTCCAATAAAACGTGAGGGTACACTATGAGGTTGACGATGCTATGGAACACCAGCTGAAGGATCTGGAATCTTCCCTGGCCTCCAACTTGATCCAGGAGGTCCTGAAAGCCCATAGTGGTTGAACAAGTGATTCCCAATGCGAGCAAAAGGACTTTATTTTGAAAAGTTCAAAGGCAGAAAGTTCTCCATTCAGTACGTCACACTAAGCATATGCTGTCCCTGGCCCCACTTTTTCCGCAGTGAGCTCTCCGGCTCACCTCCACAGCAGGGTCCCAGAAAATGTTTCTCCAGGCTGTTTGGGGGGGAGCAGCTGTTTTCTTTAAAGCCACAGAACGGTATTTTGTGGAGACCGCTTCCAGCAGCTGACAGCTGATACTGTTTAAAGGTGTACTTTGTGAAAATTCTGTTCGTCAGCAGTGCCGTGAAGTGGCATTGAACTTCGATCCCCACATCTGTAAATAAAATAAAATAAACCCACTGCATGGATTGCAATGCCTTTCAGGACGTGCCGCTTGTGAGACTCAAAAGCGAACAGTTCGAGATTGTCCTGTGAAAACTGGACAGAGCGTGGCTTGTGTAGTCCTGAATTTTGATGAAAAGAGTCCATGAAAGTTACCCTGAGTAAACTCAAGCAAGTGCACTATGGTGTGGTCCTTCCATTTTGGAAAGTGACACTCTGCCTCGCTTCAAATGAAACCATGAATTCACACGGAAAAGATACTACTCGAAAGGCAGGCAGAGGGGGTAGCGAAGGAGGGTAGAGGCTGAGCCGGTGGTAAGCTCATAAAGACATTTATTTTTACGGGCTTATTGATTCCTTCAGGTAACATTTGTGAGGTCCCGTTCTGTGCTAGGAATACTCCAGTGGATAAGACAAGGTTTTCAAGTCTCTTTGGCTACTGTGGGTAAGGGAGGGGAACTTAAATACACTCTGCTATTACATATTTTTCAAGTGTTTATTTTTGAGGGAGAGAAAGAGACAGAGCACAAGCAGAGGAGGGGCAGAGAGAGAGGGAGACTCAGAATCCGAAGCAGGTTCCAGGCTCTGGGCTGTCAGCACAGAGCTCAACGTGAGGGTCGAACTCACGAACTGTGAGATCGGGACCTGACCCCAAGTCGGACACTTAACCGACTGAGCCACCCCGGCGCCCGCACTCTGCTACTATAAAACATATACATGGGAAATTCACAATGTGCTAGAGAAGAATTGAAGAGAAAACACTTGGACAGTCCTGCTTCTCAGAAATTCTGAGTATTTCTACTCAGTAAATGAGTAGAAAATGTAGGTGCACCCAGATGTTCACAGCAGTTTCTTCATCACTGCCAAAATGTCCTTCAGTGGGTTCATGGATAAATAAACTGTGGTCCATCCAGACAATGGAATACCACCTTAAAAAAGAAGACAAGAAAAAAGAAGAGCTATCAAGAGAGGAAAAGACATGGAGGAACCATAAATGTCAAATATTAAATAATAGAAGCCGGTCTGAAAAGGCTACATTCTGTGCATCAAGGGTGTTACGCTGTCTCGGAGAATTCGGTAGTGTTTTTTCTTCCTGCTCTCTGTGTGGCAGAGTCTCTATTGCCCTATCTTCATGTTCGAGAATTCTTTTTCGCTGCCGTTTCAAATCTACTGTTGAAACAACTTGGGTGGATTTAGCATGTCAGCAACTGTACTTTCCAAATCACAAATTTTCTTTATCAATATCTTTTCTTTGACAAGCCATGGTTCTCATGCCTTTCGTTCTCAAATGAGAACATAACCTTTTTTAATACGTAAAAACGTACCGATTTTAAGTATGTGATACGTAAACACGTTAATATGTTTTTGAACATATTTAATAGCTGCTTTGGAGTATTTTTCTGCTACGTCTAGTACCTGGGAAAACTTTGAAACTGTAATGATGACCTAATTTTAGAATATTTTCATCACCCCCAAAAAGAAACCATTCCATTAACTATTAATGTGCAATCCGATTACCTCCATCCAAACTCTGGCAGCCAACACAACAGTTTCTGCCTGGTTGCATTTGCCTCTTTCTGAAAGAAATCAGTCTCCTTAGGGTCTTTCCACTGATTTGTGATTTGGTGCTTGTCCTTAATTTGGGAAGATGCTCGGGCATTGTTATTCTCAATTTTCCACGAGTCCTTCCTCCCTCTGCTATTCCCATAGCCAGGATATTACAGTGCTTGCTCTGTCTCATGGTTAAAATTCCATTTTTGTTTTGCATTTAAATTTGGAAGGTTTCTGTTAGCCAGCCTTCAAGTTTAGGGATTCCTCCCTTAAGTATATCCAGGCTGCTGCCGAACCCATCAAAGGCATTCATCATTTCCAAGTTTCTGATTTCCAGCATTTCCACTGCATTCTTTCTTAGAGTTTCCAACTCTCTGCCTTATAGTACCTGTCTCTTCTGGCATATAGCCCACTCTTTTTCATTGGGGCCCGTGGCATGTTAATCTCAGTCATTTTATATACTTGGTCTGATAGTTCCAAAATCAATGCCCTGTCTGAGTCTGCCTCTGGTGTTTGCTTTGTCTCTGATGCATCAAGTAATCAGACTGAGGCAAATGGGCTTTTAGTGTGAGATTTAACATCTGTCTGGCTCGATGATAGGCTGTTTTTAGTGTTTCCTGTATCTGTAGGTGTTAGAGGCTTCAATCTCCTCTAGAGCGCTTGGATTAGTTTAGTTTTGTTTTTTGTCTCTTATTGCCTTTGGGTATATAGGATCTCCTAGAAAGTCCTTATATGGAATCTGGGTCTTACAGCTGTCTCCCTTGTAATCCACAGTTGATTGTCCCAGAGCCCTGTGGATGTGATGATTGGAAACTGGGGAGGGAGAACATGACATAATCCTATGAATACATTTCTTTTTCTTTATGGTGGGTAAGAGTCCTGGTGCTGTGATCTTCAGATAAGTTTCCTTGATTTTCTTTTGTTTTGTTTTTTGTTTTTTCTCTCCATGTATATGAGGCTAGAGGGTCTGAAATCGACTGATTGCTTTTCTCCAGGCCAGATAAGGCTTTGGTTTGTCTTAAGGACCCTCCATCCTTATAGAGATTAGAGTCAAGAACAGTTACTCTGGCTCTGGGTATATTTCAAAATGTTTACTTTGTTTCTCATCCTCTTAGAAGGAAAAGGCATTTTATTCTTTTTTGTTCTGCATAGGGAGAACTTGGTGGGGCCCCATGAATGTGTGGGAGCCCCACAGCCTCAGAGCTTTTAAATCCCAAGGTGATCTACTGCTGAGACTTTGATAAAATTCTTCAATTAAAGTGTAGGCTTTCCTGCCACTCCAGCAGGGTGTTCTGCTCCTGATATGGTGTGATTCTACGTAGCTTTCCGTCTGTCCAGTTTGGCAGGTGGTGGGTGCCCTTGGACCTAAGTTCTCTGATGGATCTAAGAATAGTTTTCAGTTGATGTAGTTTCTTTTTTTCTTTTTGTGAGGACAGGAATGATACTCTTTACAAGCCAGAGCAGAAACCTGAAGTCTTTTCCTCTAACTTTCCTAGACTGAGTTCCATCAGAAGCATAGTAAAAACCAGCCCATGTAAAATTCAGAGTTGACAACCAGAATACATTTTGTTTAGCAATACAAATAGTAGATTTGGTAATTTTGCAGTTTATTTAAAGCAAATGCAATTGTTTGCTCAGTGACATTGGAATAAATCTGACCCTGGGGTGCCTGGGTGGCTCAGTCAGTTAAGTGTCCTACTTTGGCTCAGGTCACGATCTCACAGTCCATGAGTTCAAACCCCGTATTGGACTCTGTGCTGACAGCTCAGAGCCTGTTTCAGATTCTGTATCTCTCCTCTCTCTCTGCCCCTTCCTTGCTTGTGCTCTGTCTCCTTTTCTCTCAAAAATAAATAAACATTAAAACATTTTTTTAAAAAAGAAAGAAATCTGACTCTGGCGGCCCTACTTAGACCAAATGTTTCTACTAAAACATATATGTATATTTGTGTATAATATATATTACATATATGATATATTGTACGTATATATTTATATACATACACACATCTATGTATATATAGAAATTAGCTTTTTAGAAATGATTACCATAAGGGCTGTATGAACTGAAGAAGTCAAATAAATAGTTTGTAATATTAGATTATTTATTATTACCTCTAACAATACCTTCTACAGCATAAACTCCCAAACACCTGTAATGGCATTCATGTGAAAGTAGTCATCTATACAGAAACAATCCAGTTTCTCTACCGTGTAAGTTCATAAAGTATATAAACAAAGTCATTTTAATAGATGCTGGGAAAAAAATCTTAGTGCATTAGAAATTGCTATATAACATCAGTCTGTAAGATTTAAATGCTTGCTTTTAAAAATTAGCCGGAATACATAGCACTCTGTGCAAAGTAAACTAGAAAAATTCTGGATGGTCATAAGAAATCACACCACTAACTGAGAATGAAACTGTGTTATTTATTTGATGTTATTTTCAACTTTATTCATTCCTTCGACAACATAAATTTGTGGACCAAAGATTAGATTCTGCTCAGCCGCATTTATGAAGTGAACAAGATTTCATTTTCAAAACAGTGGCATGAATTTTCTTTAATGGTAACAAGCACTCAAGTTTTAGCAACAATTATACTTTTTTTTAAAAATATTTTTATTTATTTCTAGGAGAGAGACAGCATGAGCAGGGGAGGGTCAGAGAGAGAGGGAGACACAGACTCCGAAATAGGCTCCAGGCTCTGAGCTGGCAGGCAGCACAGAGCCCGAAGCGGGGCTCGAGCCCACAAACCGCGAGATCATGACCTAAGCGAAAGTCGGACACTTAACCGACTAAGCCACCCAGGCGCCCAACAACAATTATACTTTTGAAAGGGTAATAATTGGTTGAAAAAAATGTTTTGGTTGTAGTTGTTTTCTTCCTTTCTCACCCATACACCAGTCATATTTACAAAAATATTTACAAAATATTATAGCTGGAAATTCACCTTATTTATTTATTATTTATTTATTTTGGAGCTAGAAGTTTGTCTTTTTAACGCAAGCTTGATTCTTCACAAACGTCTGTGAGGCACTGCAACCTTGAATTGACCCATTATGGGATACAGGCAGTGTTCCTGGGATGTAACATTGAAGGATATA